AATTATTATTATATTATATAATAATATAATATATATATTAGCTGAAAAAACATTATTATTATATATAATATATAATATGATATATAATTATAATTATATTATATAATAATATAATATATAACATTGTAAATTATTGTGAACATTGTAACATTGTGAAAAACTTACAATGGAAATAATTGTTCAAAGATTGTTTTACATTTCATTCTAAGAAATTTTAACTCCATCATACATTTTAGGTTTTAATAAATAAACCTTGAAATTCCTCCTGAAAATTATATCTCGTCAATTTAACCATTCGAATTAAAAAATATCCATATACAATAATAATATATTCACATACGTACAGTAATACAAAAATAGCGCGAATTCTCTTCAATGAAACGACGACAGAAACAATTTCCATCTTATTCCTCCTCCAATCGGAGGAAAGGATTTTCATTATTCGCTATTCATTATCCAAGAGACGGAAAGAAACGAGGTGAACGATGTTCCTCGAATCGAAACGGAAATCGGCGTCGTGGGCCGAAACCTCTCGTGGCAAGATAGTAAGTCAGAGTTAAGGTAGGTCGGGGCGTAACCCAGGATCAAACGAGTCAATAACTCGTGGCGTGCCTCCTCCACCTACGATGAGATATCGGGTTAGCCATACAATGAATGTGGGTGCGCGGCCGCGTGTATATTGTTGATATGTCTTCATGGAACCTCGAAACCGACATTCCTCCTCGACGAGCGACGCAAAAATTCTCTCTCTCTCTCTCTCTCTCTCTGCTCGATCCAAAACTATTTCTAACCGCGTTCCTTTCCATTGTCCCGTCTCGCTTTCCACTGGACAATCTTGTTCCATGAAGGTAATTCGGTGAGAAATGTGTGCAAGCTGAATATGCACGTGTTCGGTGATGTTGTGGGAGGCGAACGTTGGAAGCGAAGATCAAGATATCGAGAACTTTGAAACGTAGTTACATAGCCGGGTTGAAAGGACAATGAAGGCAGAAGGATAATTCAACCATCGAGACCTCGATCTGGAACAGAATTGAGATTACAATTTTATGAAGCAATTTATTGAAAAAGATTAAATAATATTTACTTATAGTAGTTATTATGATTGTATAAAACTTGTGTATTCTATGCTTTGAATTGATAAAATATATTTATATAATATAATACTCTTAAGACTTAAGATTAAGACTTAAGATCAAATTCTTAAAGACTTAAGATAAAATATAATATAAATATATTCTTTGACTTCAAATTTTGCTAATCTCTCTGCTCTGAAATATTGAGAAAGAGAAACAATCTCAAAGTTGAATTACTTTAATAGGAAGAAATTTTTATCAAAGGAGAAGAAATACAATTGTTATTTGGTTGAAAGAAGAACCCAATGACGATTTCGAAATTGAATCATTTGCATTATTTTATGGAAGGAAGAAAAATGCAATTAATTCTTTGCTTTTTGGTAGACGACTTTGAATTTACGAATAGGAGAAACTTTTTATCAAAAGAAGGGGATGTGCGGTTGTTTCTCTCTACCTCTATTTCGGTTTCGAGGATGCTCGTATACGTGTATACACGGGTGCATAGAACGCGAAGCGTGGCTGCGTGTGGCACGAGACAATAATAATTCATCGCTCCGGGGCACGCAGCACGCAGCCTATGCTCGCGATTCTAATCCTCTGGCCAATTTGCACACAGCGCCGTAAAATAAAAGGAGCACGACCGTACAGTCTCTTTTGGATTGGCCAAACGCGATTCGTAGAAGAGGATTCTCGCAGCGGTGAGCCGATTCCGAAAAGAAAAAAGAGGCGACCAAAGAGGCTGCCGGATGTCTCTCAAAAGTGACGATGGGCTTCCATTGTTGAGATGAGCATCGGGAACACCAAGCTACAGCATCGAAAAAGTTTTGGTCATTTCGTTGATCGACGAATCTTATCTTAATTTTATATCTAGCTAACTATCTATATCTCACATATAAATGATGAAAATAAATACGTTGCAATCTTTCGATAAAAATTTCTCCTTATAAGGCAATGGTTCCATTTCGAGTTACACTTTCTATCTCAATAAATTAATTTTATCAAAGAAAAAAAAAAAAGACTCTCGTTTCTATTTACCTCTGGTTGCCACAGTTTGGAATCATATTCACAAGTCGTATTGTATTTCGTGTATGTTACGTGATCGCCACATCGATAAGAAATATCGATAAGTTTATGTAATTTTTTCAAGACAAGTAAATATTATTCATTTCACTTTTGTCGTATTTATATTTCGTTTCAGCGTAGTTTTGGGATGATTGAAAATTACGAAGCGGATATATTATTTATTTTCAACGTTGTGCTCAATCCATTATTGTGTTTAATCCATTCTTCACTGTAGAATAAAAATATTCGAGTTTTGCAAATTATAAGCTGTAAAAATAATACGAATCGTCAAAATTGTCCAATTATGTTATAATTATTATAACTAATTATATTATAATTATATGATTGAATGATTTATTAATTAATGATTTTTATTTATGAGTGCATTTTCCTTATGCAAGAAAGACCTATTGTTTTTTCATAATCACATATAAATATAAATGAAAAAATTAAAAGATACAACTCACACGTGTATCTCAATGTTTACGCAAAGGAACTCGAATATAGATTACAATAGGAAAATAATGATATCGATAAAAAATAAAAAATAGAACCTTTTTTGTACCCTCTCTCGCACCTTCATTTTCAAAGAAGTTAGAGACGCAGAAAAAGAATTCTTTCGAAATGAACCCTTTCCTCGAGCGACAAAATTCTGGAAGGCGTGGAATGGGCCATGAAACCATGAAGTGTAACGTTCATCCGCGCGGAGGATGAATTCCTAGAGCGGTCAAAAACCTGCAGAAATCGGCCCAGAGACGGCTCAACGAGTAAATCTTTCCTTAATAAACGGCCCTCACAGCTATCACGAGAACGGTCGAGAGGGGTCCGCGGGCGAGGACCTAACCTCTTCCTCGTATCGAACGTCCTTTTCGAGTGGCGCTTCTCGTCTACAAGCTTGAGGCGGAATTTCGTGCGGAAAAAACGAGAAGAGCGGCGAAAGATGCCTTCCTATGAGGAAGGCGAAATGTCGTTGCACCGAACTGAGTCGGCGATTAATCGACGTGCAGGAGGATAAGTCGGCGTAACAACTTAATGGGGGTTTCTTCGCATCCATCCACGCTGCCCTCAAGCTCAGAACGTCGCGAATCTGCCTTTTCGTCTTAACCTTTCATTCGCCGAAAACAATAAAAACCTGGAAATTAATTCGTAACCTGTGATTATTTTTCCCAACACGAATCGTGTTTTTAAGCGTTAACTTTGTATTCAAGATGTACGAATGGGGAAAGAAGGTTATGTATCACGAAATATTCCACTCTCACGATTCGAGGTTAAGGGGGAGAAAAATTTTCGATCGAGCTAATAATACGGACCCATTGAAGTCATTTGTGTCAATTTATTTGCCGAAACAGATCTCTTTGGACTCATCAAAATATAGTTAATGAATAGTATACACAATCATAAGGTATTTACGATGCGAAGTAATTTATTCGATTAATTTATTTTTCTTTGTCGGAATGACGTAATGTCGCCAGTACGTTTGCTTCGATAAATTGTGATCCGTTTGCAACTGTTGTAAGAAGCGAGTTGCACGCTGATTCGATATTATCGTTCACATCTGTGACGATATTACAACGAGAAATAATTCACTTGTACTTTCTATTCTTCCCACTGTTCCCCATACACGTTTCACGTTTGCCAGAGTTTCGAAATTAGTCGCGTACAATCGATCTATCAATCTCTCGCGAGATGTAATGTGGCGAATAGTTGTATAATTACCAGATGCGCAACTGTTTAATGCGCAACAATATCGCAAAATCGATTTATCGTAAATACTATCGCAAATACTCGATCCAGTAAAACTTTTAATCGATTTATGCTATTACTACGCGATCTCATCACGTTTGTTTTTATCACATTTGTTGTCTTAAATTAACGTTTCAATTGCTAAAATAGCGATATCGGATTTATTATATCTTGTTTTGTTCAAATTAACTTGATATTTAAAGAGTTGAAAGAAACATTCCATGATTCAGTTTGAAAGAATGAAACGATCAATGATACGAATATTCGAAAAATGAAAGAAAGATCAACAATCATTTTAACAAAACTGATTTGTAATATCTACTTTACTTATAAATTATTGTAATTAAAGTGAAAATAAGTAAGATACATATAATTACATTTCTAATAAAAGTTAGGTTAAGTTAGAAAGAAAATCGCTGCAGCACCTGTTCACGATTCTCACGAAAAGTTGACGAGAGCAAACGGAGCGCAAACTTAATTGTCGACGACTGAAATCTCTGAAACGGGCACTGACCTTCCCTTCCTCGACGAGTCCTCGACGAAGCTGTCGCGATTCCACGCACTCGAGATACGCGCGCAACGAAGGTCGTGCGAATGCTTAATCTCGTATGTGATCTTGCGCGGGGAGAAGGAGAGAGTGGAGAGTCGAGATAAAGCATGAAGAAAGCCGAGTGGTAGGAGGTTAACTAGCATCGATCTCCAAAGAATGGAGAGAACTAGAAGCGGCAATTAACTCGAGTTCCAGTATCTCTGCTCGTCTTACCTTTTAACCATAGTTTTAATCGTGGTTGCGCTTTATCCACGGATACGTCCTTTTTTACTCGACTCCTTACCATCGTTTCATTCCCATGTCGCGAGATCGTAATCTAGGTTATGTCATCATCAACGAGATTCTGTATGTCGCTCTCTTGTTGAAACGGTAGTTATACGAAGATGGAAAAAAAAAAATATTCGTGTTCCATCCTCGATGATGAATCGATGATGAACGCGATTTGAATCTCGTTTAAATTTATTCTAGGTAGATTTTGTATTCTCGGAATCAAAGTTGGACGCCAACTGAGAATCTCGAATAAATTTACTTTAAGCGATTACTTATTAACATGCTTGAATAATATTTATTCGTGGCTATTATATTTGATCCGCTCTTCGTATAACCTCGGCTGTTTGACAGTACAGTTATCCGCGATTATTCGATGCTTCGAGTAATAAATTATCGAAGTAACTTTATTCTTAATTTCAACTATTAAAATCTGCCCAACTCATATATATTGTAACGTATACGAGCAATATACGACTCTCGTTCGTTTTATTTTACTTTTGCAATAAATAAATATTCTATATGTATCAAACATATTCACGTCGAATATTCATACTTTCGATCGATTCGATCTAAAATTTATTCGAAATCGTTCTCTTGAATTCTCATCGATCGAAGAACAGAAGCATCGTTTAAACGATCGGTTGGAAAAGGAAAGAAAAAAAATGAACGAATAACAGGTTCTATCCCCCGATAATGAACATTGTTCGTGTCGAGACCGTCCTTCTTTACTCGGTCCTCCTTCTCGCAGTCATCGAGTTGACTTATTCGCGCTCATTGTCGCCATTCCAAGTCCCGAGGGGAAGAGAGAACGAGAGTGCGACGCTGGCTAACCAGGAAAGTCGAGGAGGCTTCGACCTAGGAATTTATCACCGCTACCGACAGCCATTAATATGGCATTGTGCGGCCGCGGACACCGGCAGTGGCTCGTCCATCTTTTCGTGACGCGTTAACGACTAACGGCCAAGGACAGCTTCTCGAGCTACGTGGTACACGCAATTGTCACCACCGACTCGCGATCCAGATTCTCCTTCCAATCGTTCGTCTCTCTATAATAGATACGCGAAGATCGAACGAGCATCGAAAAATATCGAATATCTTTTTACATAATCGATTCGAACAAATTTACATTTAGAGATTTATAAAAAATCGGGAGAACGAGCGACGTTAATTATTTTCGATGTGTAATGGGATTCCGATTGAATGACAGGCTGCTGTAATCGTTAATCGCGAATTGTCGAAGAAATCTTTATCGGTGAATGTATTTACAACGTATTCGTTAACGAATCGAAGATTCTATACGGTTTCCTTGTGCGGAACGCTTTATTGTTCAGCCTGGAGGTCTTTGACATCATTAGGATTAATTGAACGAGAATACTAGAATCAGAAGAATCTAATAGATGTATATAATTTCTGTTTAAAAGTTAAAAGATTAAATAAAATGGATTATTTTAGGAGGAAAGAAATTTATGCATATTATATTTATTTTCGTTGGAAGAAAGCGATGGCACTTTCAGATTTTTATCAGTATCAATTTACAAGCAATACAAATGAGATGCGCGGCACCTCGATCATACCGTAAGATGGGGGTGAAGTCTATGCGAAATCCGACAATTACTAATTTGCCGATGCTAGTATAAGATATCCCGATAAATCTCGCATTATCCTTCGCCTATTGCTTCGTGTGAGTGCCGTTTAATGGAGAGAACGTTTACTTATATCCGTCTAAGTATACATATGGTGTCCTCCAGAAATCCATCATAATCGTTACCGACTGACGATATTCAACTATCTCTCACTCTTCCGCCATTCCATAATTCGATATAATCTAACACGCGAACAATTTTTTCGCTTATGCGTAAAAAAAGTTTCGCTTCCTTATTTAAAATGAAAATTGATTTATTCGAAACGCGTTATATTTCATCGAGTTCACCGTGTATGCGTGTGTGTTGCACGCGCTTGTCAAGATCTATGCGGAAACGCTTAACTTATGAACTCATCCGGCGGATTGCCGGCAATATACCACAGGACCACGTGCGGCACGCTGAATAGAAACGTCTTTGGACCGAACGATGCGGATTCCCGCCGTTGGATCTCTTCGTTTCCTGGATCATTGCCAAGGTGAAAACATCGGTACGTCACAGTCACCGCGCATGCGATGATTAATGATCGTTCGACAGTGCGTGGAGCGGATCGATGCTTCACTCGCACGTTACGACCAACCTAACCTCTACGTCTCGAGTAATCCACTGCTACCGATCGGTACCGCAAACAAAACTGTACTGGGAATTATAGTTCGGTGACCTGTTTCCTTGTATATCGTCGAAATATATTAATATGTACTGATTACAGAGAATCAATAACACTTTGTGAAAGAATTCTTGGAGGATTCAAAGAGAATTCGAAATTGTTGGAAAGGCAAATTTCTTGGAAAAACTGCTATATTAAATATTCACGCGCGTAACACGGAAGTGCAGAATCGCGATTTAATGATTCATTTTACACGGGAACGAACACCTTCGTGTCGCGAGTCTTACTTTTGGCTTGGTACCTCGTACCTCTTACGGACAATAAGATCTGGCAAGCGGAACAATGTTTCTGAATTGCCTCGTTACCGAAACCGTGAATTACGATTGCTCCTGCCCTCTTGCGTCGCGGAAGCTTATTAACATTTTTTGCTCGGAGCCTTGGCAAATAATAACGCTTCAAAAAGCGCCGCATACGAATTAAAGTCATTCGAGTAGTCCCGTATACACGCGCGTATCCGTGTAAATTGGAGCATATATATGAGTATCTTTCGAATCAATTTTTTTATATTTAAACATAGGGAATCAATATTAATTGTTTCTGCACGCAAATATATGTTTTGTTTTATTTAATTCGTTTTATAAAGCTAATTTAAACCATTCACAATCCCGAAATAATAGACGAAAGTAAGTATCCTATTTTAAATCTTTCAGAACTTAGATTGCAACGAAAAGCGTTTGTATTCACGTATCTTTGTTTTTTTCGTGAATTTTTGCGAATATTTATATCATACAGCATATTTTTCGATTCATAACAAATAAAATTGAACGTACGTAAGAACTCAATATTGCGGTTCCAGAAAATTGTGTAACTACGCGTGTGTACGGATGGGATAAAACGATACCGGAAGGATGTTGCGTAAACGGAAGTGCGTGTGAGGCTTTTTGTTTCTTCCAGCCTTATTGAGGGATGCACCTGACAACAAGTTGTCGATACAATGGCCCGGCTGGAAGTAGAAATGAATGGATAAAGGATACGAAAAATTACAACTCTTCAAGATCCGGACTTGCGTCATATCGTATCCTGACCGCGGATAAACGTCGTAAGAACAATGACCGCCTCGAGCAGTGAAAAGAAAAGCAAGAAAAGCAAACCGTTAATCAACCAAAAGTCATTAATTCAACAATTTTACCTATACACACCATAATGCATAATATTAAAATTTAATTTTATTTCAAAGGTACAATGGAACCTGATTGAATCCCTCTTTTCGTTCCCGATGAAAACCAGGCAGGATACAAAATCGCGAAAAAATCGAAAAAAAAAAAAAGCAGAAGGAGGCTCATTCATTTCGTAATCGCGAAATCGACAGAAGCGGCAATCCAAAAGAAATCTCGATCCAAAGATGTTCACCCGATACAATCGCATAACCATCGAACCACGTGGAACCCCCGCCTGAGTGGCAAGCGTGCACGTCACGAGGCACGCAATCTCCGGGTCGTCCATACGCACGAAAATTATAACAGACCCCCAACATACACTTTCTCTTCTTCTTTCCATTCCAGCTTCCTCTCTTCTCGACGCTCTCTCTCTCTCTCTCTCTCTCTCTCTC